TTGGATTAAATAGGACGTCTTTATTAAATGTCACATCTCTCTTGTTAGTGATTGTTCTAGTTACTGGATTCCATATCTTCTATATATATTGGATGCTGTATAGCTGACTAGATAGCCTACCTAGGCGCGCGGATCCAGCTTCTTCATTCTTGGAATCTTATAGTGCCTAATGTAAGCTCTGCATCTATATATGTGGAGATTTGCTAATGATGGCTTCTTGCTATAAAGTTTCTTATAGGGTGTGATCCATATCCATTTTGTTTGACCATTCTCCTCTACTGCCTCTCTGCGCGGTCGTCTATTCTGCAGATAGGTAGTGGCCTGGAATATATGCGCGCATAGCTTCTCAGGCAGTTGTGTACTGATTTGCATGCTTTGGGCTATTTTGATAATTGTCTTCCTAGAACGTTCAATCAGCCCTAGACTGGCTGACCCAATCCGCAAATCCATATCCAACCCACCCAATCCGCACTTTGGGTTGGATGGGGGTCGACCCTGATCCAACCCACATAGATATGGGTGGATGGCATCCAACCTATGGATATGGATAACACCATTGGGTGCACGTGACCGGCAGAATAATAGAATATTCGATGATATTCTCTCAAAGAGAGATCTTTCTACCTACTAAAAGTAGTATGAGTCTAGATTCTTAGGTCTTTCCGCCTACCAAAAAGTAGTATAGTCTAAAATCACGTGTATGATATGGGTAGAATGGTTATCCGCAACCCAACCCGCATGGATATGAGGGTGGGTCAGATAGGTGGTGGATCAACCCAAAACCCATGTGGGTTGGATTGAACCCCCTGCGGATCCATCCAAACCCAACCCACGACCAGTCTAATCAGCCCTTTCTGCTCATCAATATATTGAGTTAAATGATAGATCTTGGTGCCCTTAGATTTCATAAGTGCGGATATATTCCATTTCTAAGTATTGGCTTGCGGTTAGAAAACATCTTCTTTGGCTTGAGGCTAAATTGTGTTTTGACCTATTAGATGAATTGCTTTATTAGGCCATTAAGCTGATCTTTATCTGGATGTGTGTAGATTACATGCCATCTAGTTGATTCATAAATGAAAATGTGTCGCCCAATGATCTCTATTGTGGGTAATTAATAGTGGAATCAAATCAAAATGAAACGCTTTTAAACGGCTCTATAGACCTCTCTCTAGGGTCTGAGATATCTGCTTAGCAGCCTTCGCTAGCCTGCATGTCTCGCAGATTGATCTCTTGCAGCTCAACACTTTGGCACCTATTGAGGCCTCCTCTAAGTGCTGTACGGCTTCATCTCCCAGGTGTGCTAGCCGTTGATACCATCGTTCGCTAGTTTCAGCTGATTCATGGGGCCTCTCTGAGTATTGGTTCATTGCAAAGATATTTGATATCGGATTATATTCCATGATCTCCATATTATGTTTTAATTAAGTGGCGGCAGATCAGCTTCCTATTCTGATCTTCTATTACATTGGTGCGTTGATTAAGATAATATCCATGCCTTTTCATCTGAAAAGTTAAGAGCAGATTTGTATGGCAATTAGGTATGTAAGCCACTTAACCGACTTCTAAGATGTGCAGCTTCTGATTTATTCTAATTGCTCGCAGTTTAACCTTTCCCTATCCATGGATTTTCACTTTAATGGTTCTAAAACACACATACTCTCCCTCCACTGGTTTGTAGGTGAGGAATTGAGTTTAATCATTACAGATGTTGATATCTGCTCCCGAATCAATGATCCAGCTATCTCGCCAGTTTATATGTGTTCCTGCCCATAGAGAACACTGCTGAATTGCTTCTTATAATGCCTCATTGCCGTGCGAGATGCTTCCTGATTCTGATTGTGATTAGCTTGCTTAAATTGCTGCATCCATTGCGTGCTTTACCCTTGGATTTTACTTAATCTTCTTGAATTGTTCTATAATATCTAGATTTCGGCTTCCATCCCTTTGGCTGTATTAATTTAATCATATATGGGCACTTATTAAACAAGTGCCTTTCTCCGCAGGGGTAGTCATCTCGCTTAGGCTGTTCGAATCCACGATTCTGATTAGCTGAATCAGAATTTGATTGGTTAGAGGATTGTCCCTTAAACATGGCAAAGATGTTCTTCTGTTCTCTCTGGCTAAGGCTTTCCTAGTGTTTTTGATAATGAGAGATCTCATCAAAGACACTCAGCTTGCTGTCCTCTAGCAGATGATCCAATCGAATGCTAGCATATTGAGATTTAATCTTTTTTAACGCCATGAGGAAGGTCCTGGTGCCTATATATCCAGTATATTATGTTATATTTAGTTTAGTACACACACTCAGTACCTTCTCCCACTCGCTTAGCCAGCTTGATACATTCTAATTGGCTGGCTTAGCAGCAAGCTTTTGATATCTCTCTTGGATATTGTTCATTCGCGTTTTGATTAAAGGCTTTAGGTTGGCCTTAAGCTTTCAATATCTCTTAACCTTATTATCTGATTAGCTGGTTAGCTGCTGGAGATGTTCCCTGGCTACTATTTGCTCCATAGTGTCTAGATAGCCGCGAGGCCTTGATGATCTAGTTGATATTGCTCCTTATCTTCCTTATAGATCGCCAATTCTTCAGTATATAATGCTAGTTCGATATCGGTTGGCTTGCTGGAGCCTTTGGGCGGCTGCAGTAGTTGATGAGCCATCTGATTGGCTTGCTTCTGTTGCTTGGGGTTCTGCTGAGGCCAACTTCACCTGTTAATTGGCTAGAACCATCAGATGAGTCGGTCGAATCGCGGAATGGGTAAGGCCTCCTCTCCTAGAGTATATCAAGCACTCCATGGGTTCGGGCTAGGCTGATTATATGTGAGTCCCATGTCCACCAATCATCGGGCTTATCTAGCACGATGGAGACCTTTGTAGTGGATCTGATTGTTCAGCATAGTAGTCCATATTAGCTTTGGGGTGACGGCGGTGTTGATATATCTTCAATTCTTCCGAATCAGGCAATTCCAATGAGATATCTCGCTAATGCTATGAGATAGAGCTCTCCAATATGCAGGCCTTGGAAGAATGATAGCAGAAGTCAATCCGTGCGTCCCTTAAGGGCAAGCCGGGCTCATAACTATTGAAAATAGTAATACTGTATTGATTACAAATCGCTAGCAATTTCTATGGCCAATCGAAAATGAATGAAGGTCTGATCTTCTAAATGAATGACTATCTAGCTCCTATTTATCCCTTCCATTAGAGGCCGGGATTTGGCTGATCAAATGACGAATATTTGGCCGAAATATTATCGCCAAGAGGCGGCACGGAGAAATCAAATCACTTCCCAATCGGGCAAGCGGTCATATAATTCAATATTATATAACCTCTCCCCTCTCCTCTTGAAAATCCTCAACCACTTTATCTTTATTTAGCACCGCCTTATTAGTTCGCCACAACACCATGCCTGTTACTCGATCAGTCACACATACCAGTGAAATGAATGCTGAGAAGACTACAATAAAACACGCATCAAAAGCAACAGAATGACTTGCATGCTATCAACAACACTACCATGAAAATAAACACTGAAGATCCATCTGCCGTGGAAAGGCCACCTCAGAGCCGCAGATTGGTAGAATGGATATCACTCAAAGATCCACCTAATGGTGTCATCCTAAATAATGATGAACTTTTTGCGACCCTCCAAGAGATACATAAACTCAAAGAATGCATTGTTATCGCTCGGGGCCGTCCACGTGAACTAAGTGAGATTGAGTGGTTGATTATCGGTAAGCACCATTAGCCTTTTAATATAGAATATGCTATGCCGTCTTCTAAATATCTAATAATTAACCAACTACTAGAGTGGAGAAGCAGCAAAGACAGGGAGGAGTTTCTTACCTCAGAGCTTTTCCTCAGATTAAATGCAGCCCTTGTACATCGCTTATGGAGCCAAGAAGTGGCCTGGCCAATCCCTGGTGCTGGGAAGATTATACGCGCAAACCCGCTTTTCCCTCCACAGAGGCTTTATGAGGTCCTGATAATCTATTTCCCTGCAGACTTAGATCAGGAAGCTATCTACTCTATTGAAATGTTTAGAGGGCTACCACGCTGGCACATTAATGGTGAAGACCCAGCTAAATATCCCTCAGCAGCGCTTAAGTCCCAGATTCCTGCATGGATAGAGGGGACTTGTGAGTACCAGAGGCAAACTGCAAGGCGGTTAGCTTATTTCATTGAGTTTGCTGATGAGGAAGGAGAACAAATCTATAAAGAAAAGGTGAGGTATAATCCACGCGGAAGGCCACCTTGGGATGTCATGGTGAATTTCTTTGATAAGCTAAAAGATCTTGGGATGATTGGGTATAAATCACTGCATGTAGAATTTGTGGAGGTTGTTCATTATGTACCGGAGAACTATGTACCAGAGCCTCCCCAACCTATATCTCCTGAAGCGATGAAGCGTTTAGATGATTTGCCAGCCTATGACTCAGATGTATCATTATAGAAGGAAAGCAATGGCAGAGCGGGTTGCACAGGGTGGCACCAATGTCATTCAAAAGTGCTACGGAACAACAGACAGACTTTAAAAAGACTCATTTTCAGTTAATTTACTAGTAGGGATTGCTTGGACCCATCAAAGTCGCCCAGGAAAAGTATCACAGAACACAAGGTAGTGCATGCCGAATCCCTGGGAGAGAAGCTGAGAGGAACACGAAGATGCAAACAGAAAAAGAGGCCAGAGATTACATTTCAACGTAGAAATATAGATAGATTGAGAGCAGAATCGACGGGCTCTGACATCAATCAGCCTAACTCAGCTTCTATAACACTACATCCGGTACACCTTGGCATTTCTTGAATGAACTTCAACACCTTATGGCGCTTCCGCTAGCGCCTCCACGAATCACCCTTTGTGCATTCACCACAACAAACATTGCTTACTCCAGATCATCCTGCAAACCAGTCAATACACGAGGGAGCAACGTCCGTCGGTTTGATCTTCGCATCAGGGGCATATCGGTGCTGGTTTGATTGTTCGATCGCTTAGCAACAGTTGATCTGCTGGCGCTCTGAGCGCAGATCTGTCGTGACCAGTCACATTGATCAAGATACATAGCAGTGGCGAACCAGGTATAGGTATCGGCATTCTTGACAGCTTTGGCTTTTGATTCCTCGGCAAGTGTAGCCACATTTGGAGGAAAGTAAGCCTTTTGCCCATTAGTGAGCGTCTCATCGGTGACAACTTTAACCAATTCATGAGTATCAGTTACGGGGTTTCAAGATCGCATAAAAAGCAGAAGGTTAACTCACCTTGTCTCGTGACCAAGTGTGCTAGCTCATGCAGCAAAGTACCGGGCGTTGAAAGCGCTGCCCCTAGTGGTGTTCCGTCGGCTATGATCTTTTCCTTAGAGCGCCAAGCACTAAGGGAATCCTTTCTTTTAGCTCGAGTGAAGCTATATGGGCACATGGTAATCGTGTAGACCTTCTGTTCGTCGAAGACGACTGTGAACCCTAATGTTGCCTCCAAGTTGGTGTGGACACAGCCCGGGCCGGTGCCAAGAAATGATTTGTACAAAGGAGACCACCAGCTCCACTTTGTAGCACCGCCTTGATGATAATCATAATGTCAGGGCTGGTTCAAGCTAGAAATTTGGCTTAAAATAGTTTGTTATTGATTGAGCTCACCTGTCGCCTGAGAGATTGTCTTGCCATTCATTTGTCCATCAGATCCATAGTCCATCTCCGTCCTCCATCGCCAGCTATCGTCGCAAAAGAAACCCGGCTGAGAGATCTCTTCTTCCTCTGTGCTTGTCGAGAAAGCAATGATTTGTCCGAAAATATCTAGTAGGAAGTATGTCAACCCTGGAGTCCACCTCTACTCAATGATCGGTAGAGTAAGAGGCAGGTAGTAATGCAATCCCTGCCTGTACTCTCAGCGTAGAAATAAATAACGCAAATGGAAGTATCAACTAACATTTAACGTATGCGAATTGTGCTGAGTCAATGGCTGACACCGTTGTAGGTGACGATGAATCGGGTTTTATTCCAAAGAATGTCTCTACAGTTGCGCGCACCGTCGCACTGGTAGCATAACTGTTTAAGGAATCCAAGGCCACCTGAGCAAGGTCAATTGCCTCAGTATAGATGGCACTCAAATCCGCATCCGTGCCATAGCAGGTTCCACCGTAGGTACCACTTCCAGATCGTGTAACAGGGCCTTGGCCCTGCTCAACACGAAAGCGACTACCGATATCCAAAGCACAGGATTGACCAATAAACATGAAAATTCCTATCCAGTTCAGCAACCATCGTGCGGAATTTTGCAGGCAAAAGTTCATGGTGCAAAGGGCTTCTCTTATGGTCTCAAGAAAGAACCATGAAAATAGCTAAATTTGTTTAGGAAATAGCAACCATCAACGTTGCAAAAGAGAGACGAGAAGAAAATTGAAGGTTTAATGACAACACTTCATGTATAGTGAAAAGAGCGAAAAAAGAGTGAGTGATCTTGGGACCCAAATGAGAACGAGTGGAAAGGAGTGGCTAGAGACAGCATATGTAGTGAAAGCTGGAATATAGATGAGTCTTATATTGTGCAGGGAGGTCCCAAAACTCCAGCGAATTCCCAATTGGCCGAAAGCGAGAAATCGAGCTAACCGCATGACGAGTTAGCAAAGACTGGAAAACTCAAAGCGATAATATAATTTTACATGAAAAAGTAGTGTAAGATTTTTTCTCCATATCACAATGCCACGGGATGCCCGCTTAGTATAGTTCATACTCACATGTAAGCGAATGTTACAGCCCCGCTCTCCCTCAATCTCCCCTCTTCTCACGGACTTACAGCAAGAATAGGCTAGACAGGCCGCTTTCTCTCATTCAGTCCTCATTTCGGAGTAAAAGCCCACGGAGTAGAATGAATGGTGGAGAGCGGAGAGATTGTCTAAAAGTTATGCGAAGGAGGGTGACTAAAGCTTAGCGAAAATATAGTGTGAATGCCAAGTGAGGGCAATGCATCGACTAGGCAAGCTAGTTCTTCCATCCGTTGTGCCACTCGCCTTAGTTTGAAGTCAGTTGTTTATTAAACAGACCCACACATGCTACTAAAAAGCAATGGAAAGTCAGAAAATGGTCTCATATCAACGAACGGAATAGGAGATCATCTGACGTTGGGGTTTTGGAATGGCGAAGCCTGGCTATTGCCCTAAGAGCAAGTCATTCTCTCTTGTGCTCTATCCATCGATTTCTAATTCAGGAAAACTCTACTCTAAACAGACTTTTCCGAATGCTCAAAAACTCTGCCAAATGCGCGGCCTTTTGCCGAACAATTAAAGCAGACTAAAATAGTTGAAACTTGAAAGCAATGCTAGCATCATAGCGCGAAAGAGTAAAATTTCCTCAGGGGACGTGCGGATATGACATTAGCTCTGAGGTTCGAGGATGAAAAAAATTGCAATTAGAGAAGATTAGACCGTTCAACTCGGAACATATCTGTGCTCCAATATTTACTTGGTCTGTCTAGATACGTAGAGCTGGGAAAGCCAATTATATCTGCAAAGCATCGTTGATCTCCCATCCCGGATACCGTTGGAGGTAACGAGAGGAAAGGAGCGAGAACAAGCGGAAACCAGGGGTGCCGATGTGACCAAATGACCCTAATATATCTACATATCCCTAGAGGCACCATGGCCGCTGCAGCAGGGCACTGTTCCATATCTATACTAGCTCTTCCATTCAAAATTACCTTCTGCGAATCCGACCTTTTTGAGTGGAGAAACGCCGCGTTTCTTTCCTCCTAGCGCCCTACAAAGGCTCCTTTCAATTACCCGAAGCTTACCAGAATAGCTAAAGATTCATTCTTAGGAAAACAATACAAAATGCAACTAATTACCGGAGTAGATAGAGGTCAAAAATGAATCTGTGGTATAAAGTCTCGAAGGCGTCGGATTATCTTAATCTTCTACTCCCATACACTCTTTTTCGTCTTTTTTTGTGACTTTCCTGCTCCCATACCTTAAGGTGTCTCGGCGGAGCACCTTGTCAAGAGCTATGCGGCATCTTCGTCCTTCTTTTGCATTCTCTTTTCTTTCCTTCCTTACGTTCGTTTTATCTGATGATATCTCTTGCGACTCGACAAATCCTTGTACTGAAGGATGCTGTTCTAAGTTGTCGAATGTTTGCGGCTACGGCCCAGATTATTGTTCATCTACCAACTGCATCGCTGCAGCTAGTACAAATGGGACTTGCTCCCAGCTGGCTGAGTGTGATCCTGGTGTCTACCCAGGCTGGGCAGACAAGTGGGGTATGAGCTATCCCAGATTGAGAGATGTTTTATAATACTGTCAAAATCATCTAATATTCTTGATATTCTGATTCAGGCTCTCAGTATGCTAAATCCGAAAATTGCCCTCTGAATGTCTGCTGCAGCGAGTTTGGCTTCTGTGGAACAACCACGGACTTTTGTGGCGACACTACTGTTGCTGAGCCAGTATGCGACGGAACTTCGGCAACGAAGACTATCGCATACTATGAGGGTTGGAACTCTGAGCGTGCCTGTGACACCATGCCGCCAGAGAATATCCCAATTGGCGGTTACACGCACATTAATTTCGCTTTTCTTTACATTGACCCTGATCTTTACACAATAAAGCCGATGGAAACTTCTCAGCAAGAGCTCTACAGTCGCGTCACCGCGCTGAAAAAGCGAAAGAATGACTTAGAAGTCTGGATTTCTATCGGTGGATGGGCCTTCAATGACCCTGGATCAACTGCTAACACCTTTTCCGAGCTGGCGGCATCTAAGTCCAAGCAATCGACCTTCTTCGAGTCATTATTGAACTTTTTGGACAAATACGGATTCGATGGTGTGGATTTGGATTGGTATTGCTTGATGCTCCCCCCTCCGGCCCCCCAAACAACCAAAAAACAACTCTCTTCCAAAATACCTTGACTAATAAGAGAAAAAATAAAGGGAATACCCAGTTGACGCTGAACGTGGCGGATCAGATGCCGATTATGACAACTATCCAACCTTCTTGGCAAATCTTCGCTCTGCGCTTGATAGCGCAGATAAAGGCTATGGCTTAACTATTACCCTACCCAGTAGCTACTGGTATCTTCAGCATTTCGATGTCGTGGAGATGGCAAAGAGTGTCGACTGGGTGAGTTCTTTCAGCTTTACAGGGTGACTCTTGTTACTAGACCTGTCTAACGCGCCTTTAGTTCAACATGATGACATACGACCTTCGTAAGTTGAGCAATATATGTTAATGCTAATGTAATGTACCAGGCTAACTGTTTTTAGACGGTGGCTGGGATGCAGATGACCCTTGGATTGGATCTGTTGTCAACGCACACACCAATCTTACGGAGATCGTCTCGGCCATGGATCTTTTGTGGCGGAATGATATTCCTCCCTCTCAAGTTGTGATGGGACTGGGATTCTATGGCCGAAGTAAGTACCCCTCCCGCTTGAGGGAGAAAAAATATAACCACTGCTGATTCCAGGGCTTTTTAGGCTTCACGCTCAATGATACGTCATGTGTCACTGCGGGATGTCCTTTCTCGACAGTTGGTACGTATAAATTCTGGGTACACCAGGTCACATTGGCACCACGAGTTTCTAACATTATACTTAACAGGTAATGCGGGTGATTGTACAAACAGTGCTGGCACGCTTTCATTCTCGGAAATTGAAGCAATTCTAAAGGATGCGTCTCGCGATGCCACCCAGACTTATGATGAAACCTCTTCAGTTCAAATCGTGACATTTGACGAGAATCAATGGGTGAGCTATGATAACTGGGCTTCGTTTCAGGCTAAGTTGGACTACGCAAATTCCCATTGCATTGGAGGGTAGGTTATAGTCTGCTTTTGAGAATACCTTAGTGTTGGTAATGAGCTAATCGTATATTGCAGAACAATGGTCTGGGCTGTCAGCTTGGACGTCGACGGAACAGCAACCAGTAAGTTGACCATCCCCAATATCGTTCAAGAGGTTTGAGTTTCTGACTCTTCCCTTTCCAACAGATGGCCTTACCGGAGCCTCTGTTGTTTTCCCCGGTGACGACGGTTCCCATGGAGGAAGTGAAGATATTTATGTCGGACCTGACCTGTGGACAAATGCAACCAAGGAGATCTCTTGCGAGCCACCCTGCACTATGATCCTGCCCCCATTCCCACTAGCGTCTCCTATAACGATTGACTGGCCAGCATACCAGACTACCATTGCATCAAGCTCTGATGGGGCCACATTGACCAAGACCACTACAATCACCGTTGCTCCCTTCACTATCAACGAGATACCATTCTGGCCTATCACTGTGGCGGAAACTGGCAGAAATGCCTACTTGAGCCCCATGCAGAGCATTGCTCCACCAACCTTTGGTCTGACTTTGCCACAAACCGAAGCTACTTTCCCCCTTTTCCATACTGATTACAGTGCCACTCTTACCACCAAGACATCAACGGCAAACGCTACTGTGCCATCCGTTACAACACCTGCTGCTGTCCAGAGTGGAATTGTTTCCGATTGTACTGAGTTCTATGAAGCAATCGCCGGCGATGGATGCTATTCCATTGCAACTGCGCACGACATCACACTTGCGCAATTCATCGTAAGTTACGCGAGACTAAGAAATATAGATAACCCATACTGAGCATTCCTTTTTAGGAATGGAACCCGGCGGTAAATTCAGACTGCTCGGGACTTTGGGTTGATGAATATTACTGTGAGTCCTTACTCTTTCGATTATTTGGCTTAATTCTAACCCATATCAGGCGTCGCTGTTGCTAAAGCTACGAGCACCACCTCATACACGCCCATCCTCGTGACCTTCTTTGACAATTCACATGTTATTACCGTGGCGCCACAGCCGACAGCGACATCAATCCAACCCCCTGGAACAAGTATCCCTATACTCACATACTCCGACGGGGAGGCACCCTCGAATGGAGGATGTAGTTCTGGCGGCGACACTACTGGTTGTGGAAAGATCGATTGTTCCCTCTTTGGTTGTGGGGGTGAATGTGGTTTCTTTGGGTGTGATGGAGGCTGTGGCTTAGGATTCTGCGGAGGAGGCTGTGGCCTTCTCGGTTGCGGCCCTGGATGCGGAGCTGGTAAGTCAACTGTGTTCAATAACCAAGCACCTATATCATAGTTCGCCCATCGTGCATGACGTTGACATAATCTTCTATTGCGCTTCTAGGGAGCTGTCTCCAGGAAGGAGGTGGTGGTGGCTCCGAGGAGGAAGAGAAATCAACTTCTGAATCGTGCAGCGCAACTGCCACGGCTTCTGTCACGACTGTTTGTGACTATGCCTGTCCAGACGGAGCATCGACATCCTGTGCCACTCTCTGCACCTCGTTGACAATTAGCTGTGAGCCTACCGGGTTCGTTAATTTCTCACCTGGCACTGTGGACGCAGACGCGCTGCCACTCACATTACTTGAGGCCTCCGATGAGGCCATGACATCCGCTGCCGAATCTGTGGCATCCTGGTTGAACCCAAAATACACCAGCCTAGATCCTGTCATGACAAGTGGCACCACCATAACTGCATCAGCTGCAGCGCCCGCTGTGACGACGTCTGCTTCAACAACTACAGCCACTGCTATCTCGGCCTCCTCTTGTGATATCAAAAGCACCAGCTCCTCCTCCTACTGCTCATGTGATGGAGGGTACGGCGTGACACTGTCAACAAAAGCTAACAAGTCCAAAACCACCTTCCTGGTCTGTGATGTCACTCCAGCCCTGACAATTTCCACCATCACGCCGACCACGACCAGCACCAAAACCCAGTCTACTTCCACAACCACTTCTGCCAGCGGGTCTACATCCACGGGCTTTGCGCTCTATATGACCTACTGGTCAGCCTCTGAGTGTCCCATTGGACTCACATGCGAGGATGACGGGAAATGGAATGCGGTTATGGTGGTGAATCTTTCGAGTGATGAAGTTGCCGTGCCCATTAAAGGCACGTGGAACCAGGATGGCATGGTTGATGGAAGTCAAGCAACATTCTGTGATCAGACTTCGACTTTCACAATCGATGGCGATGACATCAAGGGCTCAAGCAGTGTCAGCAAGTATGGCTCATATGTTTGCAAGAAGCAAGCTGTTCCTGAAGAGAATACCTGGTATGATCCGGAAAACACGGTATCTTATGATATCGAAGGGGCATGGGTGTGTCTGACAGACATCTGTACCTAAGTGAGTTTATATAAGATATTGGTCAGAAGGGGGAATCAAATGATAGGTATGGTACTCACAGTAGATGATATCCTAAATTGGACTAGTCTAGGGAAAAATCAGGCTCCTGTATCGCTGTTTAGGAAGCAACCAAATTTACATGCTATTCCCCCTCCCTCATCCGCCAAACAGAAAAAGGGACAGTCTCTAACGCTCCCACACCACCTCCACTGAAGTTGAATGTAAATTAACTGATGTTTTCTACTGTGTCTATGGTACCGATCTCAAACTCTCCATCAAACCCTGATGATGTTTATAATCACTAGCTAATATTACTGACGGGTGAAGAACACTCATCATGACCATGGCAAAAACCATCAATATTATATTAAACACATACATGAATGCCTCATGGCTAATTAAATACCCATTAATTCCCTGCGTGTACTTAACAAGGTGGAAGATCAATTATATCAGAATCAGCGCGCTAGTAATATACAGTCCCTAAAGAGTGGGCTCCCAGCTGTAAAATTTTACTTAATTAGGACTCCCTCCCAGTTACAGAGCTTATTATATTAGATTTAAGTAGATATATCTATGAAAGGTCGCTAAGGTAAGCATAAAAATTATAAAGAAGATGAGTTGGATGCAGAGACTGCTAATCATGATGTGTTCACCCATAGTTCTGGCTAGACCTAGGCAGTGTAGAGTTGCATAACCGAACCGCAAAAATCGAACCCGAACCTCACCGAACTCGCAGCGGTGCGGGGTCGGGGGCAAGCCTAGGGAATTGCTTTGGGTTTGGTTTCTCTACCCTGGAACCATTTCGGGTTCGGTTAAAACCGCTGGTTATGGTTTTTGCGGTTTACCGGATTAGGTTAACCAACCTGCACCCATTTTACCTAGAAATCACTGAATTCTAGGTATTTCTAATTAATATGAGTATCACTGGATAGCCCTTGATTCAGGCTATCTAGTGATATTAATATCATTTAAAAATACCTGGTGGTTGCTGAGATATAAGGGAATTTCATCTCTGTAATAGGTTGGTATGAAAGTAGTGGTAGTCTATATATATATGCGACTGACTGTTGATAATGACCATATTTAAAAATGATTTTTTAACCGCCACCCATTCAAATCTATAGATATTGAATTCATATTTTAGATCTAGATTAATATGATGATAATTACCATATATTTTGTATAAAAATCATAATTTTATATAAGCATGCTTGATAGGGGCGTCAGAGGGGTCCCCGAAGGGGGGAATGGTAAGGGTTAAAACAGTTAAAATTAGCGGTTTAACCAACCCGAAACCGAACCGAATCTAACCATGGTTAGTTAGTATAGGCCTAGCAGCGGGTTTTGCGGTGAAAACCGCAACCGAATCGCATCGGGTCTGGGTTTGGTGCAAGTTCTAAATTTTGAACCCGAAACCGCAGTGGTTCGGTGCTAACTAGGCTTGAACCCGCCCGAACCTGCACCAAATGCAACTCTAGGCAGGTGTTCCGGGTAACCCAAGTGAAACATGTGTCAAACCCAACTTGGGCTGGGTTTTGGGCTCAAGGGGGTGTTCAGAGTTGGGTTCTGGGCTTTCATATAGAACCCAGCTGGGTTTTGGGTAACCTAGTTAGGTAGATAAACATGGCAAACATATGATATGCATTAATTATGTAGTCCTGTCTTGTATGTATTTTAGTTAGTCAGCAGATTTATGCCTCTTGGCATGGCCTAGTTGGGAAATTTATACTAAAATGAAACAACCTAGGTAACCCAACTAGGTAGCCCAGTTGGGTTCTAGGCTGGGCTTAGGCTCAGAGGGGGTGTTCTGGGTTTTACTGGGCTGGGTTTTGGGCTCAAGGGGGTGTTCCAGGTTGGGTTTTGCCTAGGTCTAGTTCTGGCACTAAGGCTACTACTAGCTATGGTTGCACCACCACCTTTATTCTAGATTAGTAAGTATTTTTTTGTGGAATTTATATCAATAAGAATGAGAATAGTGAATAGTAAAAGCAGTGAGCATACCTACTGCCTGTGCCATAAATGCAATGACATCACCCATTATGAATATACTAGTTAGCTATTTTACTAGGACCAGGCTGAACTATCAGTCTATCAGCTTGCTGGGGCGCTGAGATACCCATTGCAAATGGGCCTATTACAAATGGCCTCACTCCCTCATTAGTGTAGTATCTAATAGCAGTCAATCAAACTGGGCTCATAACTGTCAACTAATCCCTGATGATAGCGGATCTATGGTGATCACTAGTAAAGGGTATGATTTGGGATAAATGAAGGTCTGATTTCTGGCAATCTAGATATCTAACTAACTACTTATAATCAACTAAATAGAAACTCTATAAAATCTTCTTAATCCAGCGAATTGAATCCATGGTAGAATCCAGCGATCTGATTGGCCCAGCCAGAATTCAGTTAAATATCGATATCCGATACTCTCCGGATTCGATAGTGGTAAGATATGGTTGACAGAAGATGAAGTGCAATAGAGTTTCTGGAAAAATCTTAATTGCGTGTGGGCTCTTCCAAAGTCCCACCGCTCACTCTCGACCTAATGGTTTGTTGAGGAATTTGACTGCACCAGAGACGTCCGCTCCAGAAGCGCTTGGAGCTCAATCAAACGGAAACGGAGTATCAAGAGAAATTTTGGACACAAATAGTTTGAAGGTGTATGATATGATGATTGTTGAGCTTGAGTGATCTGAAAGCGTGGCATCCCAAGGGACCGTGGCCACTGGCGCTAGCAAAAAGCACCTTTTGTGTATTTATGCAATTTCTCATATAAATTCTGACTGGCTTCAATTTATTCGAAATTACGTATATTAAATGGTTAGCCATGCTGCAAACTGAAGGGGTACAACACGTACCAAACATAAAGAGACCAGGCCCCCGTCGGCCCACTTATTCTTACTTGCAGCGGCCCGTAATTTCTATTTATGATGAAAATCTGTCATCGTTGGTGCTAGCATGTCTGGCCTTGCTACTTATTTGTTTCTTAAAGGACACCTTCCTTTCCCCGATGCCCATGAGATCCATATCTATGAGAAGCGTCATATCTCAAGACAGCAAGGAGCGGGCGTAGGGGTCTCTGCCAATGGCTTACAAGTACTCAACAACCTGGGGCTGTCGGATGAAGTGCTCCATGATGGTTCCATGTGTAATTTCTTTTTGATCCATGGCGTCAACGGATGGCCACTTGCAAATCTGTGAACAGGACGTCATGCTCACGAATGCTGCGTCTCAATTAGCCGACACGCTTTGTGGAAAGTCCTGATGACAGGAGTAAGGGATGTCGTCCCCTATTGTGAGGTCAGGAATATCGGACATGATACAAGTACCGGAAGGGTCCTTGTGAAGGTAGAGCATTCCGTCGAGGAAACCGATCTTGTCATCGGTGCGGATGGCATACACAGTATCGTGAGGGAGCACCTTCTTGGACTTCCATAGATAAATTCTCACCCAGACATAGGTAAGGAATTCGCCCATGGAAACGCGCGCCGCGGCATAATTTACTGACTTTGGCAAGTGGTTATGCATGGGTCGGTGGCTGTACGGACATAGCAGCGAACCCATAACTCCGCGCTTAATAAGTTCCCAGGATAAGTAAGGATATTCCTGTTACAAGCCACTTATTCTGACAGAGTTCCACACTCACTAGACGGTTAAAGAGCTTGAATGATGAGCTCTATGGCTGGGATGCAGAAGGATCAGTCCGATCCGCAATACACTCAAATCAAGTACTTGAGGGAAATGATCGAGCTTCCTAAGTCTATCTTACCTGCCTCATTGGGAAATTAGCCAGGCATATGTCAGCTCCGGCTCAAGGGTTGTAAAGGCTACTCTTTTGCCTACCCTCCAGTAATAGGCTTAGCGCTAGACACACCATCATCTTTTGCTTTGTGTGTAGCTTCAATCTAGAGAGTTCGTACATCACGCCCTTATTATCTTCCGTTCTCACTCACAGAAGGCACCTCCTTACTTAAGACCTGCAAGTCCATTTTCAGCCTCATGGAATCTTTTGCATTATTATAAACTCTTTCCACCTGAACGAGACGGTATGATATTCCTCAACAACTAGCTTCTTCAGCATGGTGAGGCTGCCATGACCTGAACGTCGCTATCTAGGTTTGGATAGACATAGTGGGATTGTGCTTGATCAAAACAGATAGCCTTACCGACAATACAGTATTCACCTTGACCTTGACCGATCCAGGTGTCGAACTTGAGGACCACCAGGCAAAATTTCTCGAAGTCAAGAAGCAAACATTTCAGGCCACGGTTGAAGAGAGAAGAGTAGTTTGATTCGATGAAACCACATGCTGAGTGACAGGTAGCTACTGTCTGTACTCATCACGCAGATTCTTCATGTCGTTCTCAGTTCGGCCCCTGCATGGTCGCTACATTCTGTTCTATTTTCAAAGCTTCTGACCTGCCTCTCCGATTTTATTTTCTGACTCCAGCTCCGATTCCATATCGTCATAGATCTTCAAGTTACCCGTTTCCGTGCTAGAAAACGACGTTCTTGACAGCGGGGCTGGAGAGCAAGTGGAAAGTGTCGTGTCTCTTTGAGTCTGTTCAAGAATGACCGTAGTATACTCCTTCCAGAATCAGGAATGTTCCTGGCTGATGATAATGGTATTGCAGATTTGGGTCCGTCAACGCTGCTCAACGGACAATAATCATCTGCTTTGGAGAAGGCACAGGCACCTGTCAATCGGGAAAACCTATATTCTTTGGCCAAGGTTTTTCGAAGTTGCTGCCTCTTCTTCCATCATCCTCCCCACTTTAAGCCCGTCTTTATTTGCAAGGAAACCACTCTCTGATCTGCCTGCTGTTTCATCGTCGGAGTATTATAGTTGTGTCATCCGGGCCGCTGACATGTCTGATCCATCAGCAAGTACTCTAAAGGAGCTGTTAACCACGCCTCGAAATTTCGTCGACGTAGTTTCCTCTCATCCAATGACCGAGCTTCAGTTTATCCCAGAGGTATGTTAGAAATCCACAAACCCAGAAGTCATTTACTAATAAGTCTCATCAGTTCAACACCTTAATCCATCGGCTATTTGAGAAAGCTCCAAAAGCCGCTCAAGCAATTGCAGTTGGCATACAGAACTTCAACGCTCAAGAGCGGACCACGCCGGAGAAGAGAGCTTCTCATCCAGCGGAAGCCAAGCGGAAGCCAAATGAGGACCCCTCATACCGACCCCCTAGGTCTTATTGCCAAAGCCTTGGCATACGGTTAATGCCTCCTCTACAAAAATCTCTAGAAACAATAAAAAGCATAAAATATAGATAGATACTAAAAAAATCTCGGCTATTAGAAACCTTCATTTGAGCGAGAGGAAATGAATTTCATTCCAACGTCCAAGATACTAACAGCAAGCGGAATGATCAGCTCAAACCAACTTCATGCGAGTCTACTTCTCGGTAGAACATCAGTAAGCAATGAACGTGATGGATCCCAGGATACAGGTAATGAGACAGCTGTTCACCACTAAATCACACTCATTCTGTGCTCGTCTTCTGTCATTGGTGGATTGGAGGTTTACCTGGTTGGAAAGGCAGTTCAAGAAGACCAACAACATGCTCCATCTTCCTTTAGATAACTTCAGTTATTACCTTTCAGTTATGTTTGTTTGCAGAAACTGTTGAGTTAGTCTGAGAATCTTGATATGTTGAGTAAATAATTCACCTATCACCAGAGAGGTTCTGCTTTAGCACCAAAAATCCGTCCATACTACCTTCCAAGGATTGATTTCTCCGGAGAGCTTCCAGATGCAATTATATGTATTATCCCAAGGTTCTGGAAATTCAGTGTTATTAGAAAGACTTAGCAGATAGAGGCTGAACCAAAGTATCTGGTCTTCATTAGCACCGGCCCCCTATAGGCGTGGATAGGACATGCATAGGATTCCTGATCCTGTAAGAGGAACTAGTCCACCCACTAATAGACGCAATTAAGGTTTGCTGGTAATGGCTTAGAAAGTCTTGAATTAAAAATTAAAAGGATTACTTACACTTATCATCAAGCTCCCACGCCACAAATATATGTTTTGGGTGATGGTTGAGCAGCTCCCAGATATAAGGAATATGAGCAGCTATTCCAATTCCTGACGCAACTAGAAGGACGTTATTATATGACTAGAGGCGAATCTATTCACTGTATGGCCTGTCAATCCATGTGAGGAACTCTTTGCCCAGATAGTCTATAAGGCTCCGTGTAAACCCATCCTTCTTCTGGACCAGAATGGAAATGCTCATCACCTTCCCTTGCTTGTTCAGTTCCTACCATGGCACTGTGGACGGATGACTATAAAACATCAACAAGGGGCTAACCCCGGGCATCTAAATATAGACTGTTATGCCAGCATGAACAGTAAAGGGCTGATTGACAGGTATGACTATCTGAGCCCAGCTGTCACCCCTGTGAACCTGAGCTCTTGAGCCAAATTATTTAAGCGTGACATCCTGCACAAGGAGTTTGGCCTAATGCAGCAGGGTGGTCCAATAAGGATGCCACTGCCAACTACCATGTATATCTGGGCAAAAGCCTTCAGGAGGCATACGTGACGCCAAACGGCAACCAATGTCGTCAGGGCAAAGATATAGTGCATCTTGATGAATATTTCATAGAGAAATCCGCGAATGATTAAAAGCGCGATAGACAAGCAGAACGCGGAAAGTACCTGTTCACGTCAGCATAGCTATCTTAAAGCAACATTTTAGACCTACCTATCAATGAGAGAACGCCGTCTATAATATTAGAAATGCCTTCAGAGCGACAAAAACAACAAAGGGCGAATATTCTCTCAAAACTGCGCAACGAGCCAGCGTCAACCAACCTGCAAGCGTACTTTGAAAGATTGAAGAAAGGTTGTCTAACTTGGGACATTGAAACTTTTATCGAAGGTGCAAATACTTTTGCCAAACTATGTGGACCTGCAAGAGCCAAATACTACGACAACCCATTGAAAGGGCTACGTTCTGCCAACTCACTCACAAAACTGTGGGATGAGACATACCCTGAAGAACCCATCACCCTGTGGGATCGGGATATCAGACATCAATGTCCAGCTAGCTGGTCTAATGGACTTGAAGGGGTTCGCTGTTTTTTAACCCACCGGAGAGAAGGAGCTCTGAGTCAGGCCCTCAATGAATTGATCCAGGGGCCCACTATACTAGACTGCGGCATGTTTTGCCAGCTTCAACTGTGGATGGCAAAACGCTGCCTTGTGGGAGATGGATTATTTGACAGATTGTTCAAGTTTGGATAGGGACACTTCGCTCTGACGCAGTTGGGAGGAGAGTCCACTCATTGTCTTCTATGATGAACCCTTTAACCCCTGTGGCTCGGAAGCACACATTCAGACTAGAACAGTTTTCAATCACCCAGAATACCTTGCTAGACATCTGGGAGGTGGGAGTCGGCTACACAATGTTACCTAAATTGATGGCTACAATATTGTCTTCGATCCGGACGCACCGCGAAACATCCTATCAGACAAAGAAGTTGAAGAGAGACTCGGGCAGGCGTGCAACGCCCCCCCCCGAGACTCTGCTAACTTGGAAAAGCTCTGGATGTATACAGCTTGGCCTGGCCATGTGCACCCAGACTTCGCGCCAAAGGATTTTGGTACTCTAGCCGAGGAAGCAAAAGAATTTGCCAATCATACTTTGAATGCAGAGGACTGGGATGACGGATGGATTGAGTTTCACGTTCAATTTTCAAATGTTAGTCAGAACTGTGGAGGTCGCTTTATCTAGCCTAGAGGTTTCTGCGGTGTGACTGTGCATATAGTGAATGAGGGATAAGGAAGATCAAATTATATTCTACAACTAGCGAGAAGAATGTTTCGTTGAGCTACTTGCAACTGTGTCTTCTCTGTGCCCAAAATATCACCCGATATTCAAAAGGACAAGCTGACCTATGCACAACCCTTTAATTTTGCTGCGCGAAGGTCGTTCAACATTCCTGGTCTTACTGGCTCACTCATAAATGGTCACTCACGGCGTGATACTGCCACAGAAGCGAAGAAGCTGGAGCCACTAGCTAGCTTGGTCATGAGTTTGCTTATTTATAGTGGCTTGTGCTTCTGCAGCCCACTTTGTTAATTCCTTCACATGATTCTATACCGCCAATGTAATGTCACGTGTCTTGCTTAACCCATAATCAGTATACAGGTTCGTCACAATGCTGTTAATGAAACCTGTAGTTTTACCTAGTTGTCTCTTTCTCCCTTCATGTGGGTAAGTTACTCATAACCTATAGGTAGACTTTGTGAGTAGATAGCTTATTGTTTAACTTCTAGGACCAGGGCACTGTAACCAGTATTAGCAAGATACTAGATTAGAAGAGGGTAATAATGCCTTATCTCTTCCTTGACTCTTGGTACATTTTTAGCGTGTTCATGTGCGCCATTATTGGTGTTATCTTACCTAGCAATGTTAAGTTTGATTTGACTATATTAACTATTTAGCTTGCTGCTTTATTTAGAGAATGACTTTATTTCCTTACCTAATATCCTCAGCAGTGCTCTATGTATACCCTCAGTCCATTATCATTGAAGAAATTAATGATGAATACTTATATGATCGCCATCTCTTCCAAAGGTGGACTGAGCCTGTTAGCTTCTAGGTGTCCAGGGCCTTGAGGAAGAGAAGGGTAACTAAAATCTCTCTTACCTCTCAGATAAATTACTGTAGATAATCTGATTAGCTTCAGACTAGCTTTTATTCCTGTCATGAGGTTTATTGAAAGCAATAGCCCTAAAGTATTCTAACCACGTGTTATTAGCAATAGATTTCAACATCTTAATGCAATCTTTGATGGGCTGGTATCTTTAGTAATCATAACTAGGGATAAGACCAGTAATCTATAAGAGGTATAAGTCTTACTTATATGTCCTTGTGTCCCAGGTGAGAAGATGTTCCCCTAGACCTGTTACTCTGCATCTCACTGAGAGTGTATTTAACATACTCTTAGTGCAAGAAAGAGAGCTGAAAATGACATGCATCACCCTACTTTTGAAAATGATGGACTTCACTTTACAACACCCTATCATTTCTTTATTGTGCTAGACTGTTTAGAGCTATTGAAAAGATGATCAGTATCATTAGTTGGAAAATAGGGTTGATTGGCTGTAGTATCAAGACACCTGTTTGTTGAGAGCTCTGGTGAGCATGTAACTTAGACTGAGGACTATTAGGAAATATCTGTGGGCCGCCAGCTATCAATCTCCTATTCACTATTTCCAGATTTCTTGATGACCGCTTCTCCTCTCACAATCTCAAAAGTCATTCACTGCTCAGTTGCTTTGTATTCGCGCTGGAAGATTTTCCTGCTCAAGGCTAAGTGTGTACGCCCACATTTGGACTGTATCCAGGATTCTGTTCCTGGGGAGCCTCGAATATCCAGGAGGTGGACTAGCAAGTGCCAATGGACAAATAATTAGCCTCATTTGATATTTGATGGCATGCTGCCGATATAATATGGTGTACCGCCACCGCCATGGTCGACTTTGGTCGCTCTGCATTGCCCCGCCACTGACCCAGGTGATGCATTCTGGTGCCGGGCCACTCTCCATTGACCCGTTGCACTAGACTGTAGCGAAGCAGCACATCCAAACTTCGTTGATATCGAGAATTGTCCCCTTTCCTTTCGTTGACCTGGATAAATTGTCGCAGTTCAGAAATCTCTCCGTCGCCTAGCTCGTTGTCGACGCAAGACATGCCAAGGCTTGCCAGACGGAACAGCTCATCCTGAACAATAGCGCCTTTAAAGTGCGCAAAAAATGTCAAAAGCAGAGTAGGCTGCAAGATTGCATGCCCCTCTCGATCTTCTCCAATGTGGTATCCTATACCGTCCATACTGTCTTCTCCGTCCGCGAAAGTGCTCAAAGATCATCCATCCGCAACAGCTCATCGCGATGCCTGTTGTAGTCTTCTAAGTACTGCATCAGGACCTGTTCAGGTATAGCATCGTTGCCAATGTAGGAACTTGCAAGATCAATTGCAAGGGGCAGGTACGCAAGCCTCTGCGCCAGTTTGCCACAGCCTTGTTGTATATTTCTTGAGAGCGAGCCGATGTCCGACGACATGTGTTGAAGAACCATACTCCCTTCCTGTGGCGTCATGGTATCCACTCGAGCCTGTTGACAACCTCCGTTGACCAGCATTGGACTCTGCTTGTTGTAGCTAGTAATGATAAGTCTTCCCTGCGCTCCTTTCGGCATTATCGTCTTAATCCCCTAGGTGATATCATCAGTATTGTCAATGATAACGAGCCATTCATCGTCGGCTTCAGTTCGGTCGCGGAGCCATCGAAGCACTGTCTGGATAGTGGTATCGCCCACGAGGGCTGACCTCTGTTTGTTGTTTCGATCATGTAGAAGTCCAAGCTCTGCGACACATCGTGTAAAGCTAGAGCGCACTGTCTCCTGATTGGTCGCGTCAATCCAGAGTATTGGGTTATATTGATCCCTTTTACTTCCTGTATACTTGAGGGCTAGTTGTCACTTCCCCTCGCCCCCTAATCTGTGAAGAGCAACCGCATAGGGAATGTTTGATTTTTTGGTTTCGGATTTGCAGCTTTTTGTTAAGTTCCTTCCATATCTGGTCTCGCTGTGTATAGTTCGGTACCGTCTTAAGTGGGACAGCGTATTGATAAGAACAAGATACTTGATGCTCTTCTCTACATCATCAAAGATAGATGGACCAAATGACACAGGCACATCACCCTAGTATTATACATAGTTAAAAGCTTTCCAGCTCCTTCTAGAAGTTATTTAAATAGATTAGTAATGTGGGTGGCTTAAAGGTATTGAAGGGGTGATAGGATTAATGACCTTACACTTATTACTATATACTATATAAGCAGGTCCCTCAAAGACATCTTAGAGCTTTTTAAGATCCTAAGATAAGATATTTATAGGGAGCTGGACAACATAAAGGCTGAATGCACGACTTGAGGATGGAGTTCTTAAAAATCAAGTGCTTCCTAGTGAAGAGATAATTGTATTATCCCTGAAGAATATCTAATTCCGTCTATCTGATCATGCCTGCTTACCTGGCAGGTAACTCCTTTATTCATGAGCTGTTTATCGTCTCTAACCTCGATAACAGTTTGTGTTGAAAGCTGAGGCCTCATCAGAGGAAGTCGATCAATTAGCTCAGTACATTGAGAAGATGGGTGGAAAAGTTACGGGGCGATCGACAGACTACATGAATTTGCTCAGGCTCGTATTCCACCGAAGGTGTATCCCACCTCTCCTAGTGATGACACTAAAATCAAATCAGTGCCTCATTCCCCGGGGCGTAGAGCCTTCGAATCGTGTGAGGGTAGGGGGTAGGCCAAAGGCCGCCCCGTACATGTCCCGCTGATATCGAGGGATTCTAGCCCCTTTTATAGTTCTACCTAAGCTATGAAGGAATGAAAGGATCTACATGGTTATGTACATACTGATGACATCCACCTAATCTCCTCTGCCCACTCCCGTAGACGTAATCGAAGTCACACATATTGGTTGATATCACACCTTTATGTATTAGGGTGCTTTTTCCTGGATGCAATTGCCTGGTGCCCGGTCTGGACTGAAGTATGCAAAACATAATTAATCCATTCTAAATACTCGGTAAGGTGATGCTTGCCATATCTCAGGATAGTAGTTTAACTAAGAGATTACCAAGTAAGTTAGCACTAATTATATGTGCCCAAAGTACCTTACAATTGACTTTCATAACGTGATCATAAAGCCATAATGACAATCTACACAGCTGTTTTCTGCATTCAGAAGTATTTGAACTCTATGACGCTTAGATTGCAATCTACCAAAATATTTTATGGAACAGATGAAAAGGCAGTCTTATATGCCAGCCATGAATAGCTTTGAATGTAAGAGTGGTAGATTTGTGAAACATGGAATTACTGCTATTATTATCCAGCATTGTAGCTTATGTATCCCTGAGAGACAAGAGCACTCTGCTAGTATGAAGAGGACTGAGGACTATAACTACAGGCATCAGATTGCTGAATCCCGTCAAGTAAGCTTAGTTGTAAAGCTTAAATAACATCCCATTAGTTGCACAAATTGAATCACAGATCCTATCTGGACCCAAACACATCTGAACTGCACATATTAAACTCTGCAGTCATGACCTATTATGGCTTACAATTCTACTGGCCAGGAGAACAACTGCCAACATCAATATTCCAAATATTGTTATCTCACCCGGATTTGGTTAAAGCTCTAGCTAATAAGGCGAATATATGACTTCAGCGCGTCATCTTGATCCGGGAATCATCCGGCCGAATAAACTCAACTCATTAGGTAAAAGCCACAAGTATTTGTTCCTCCTGGTTATATTGCCATACCTGGTACTATGTGAGCTTTGTGGTTTGTTAGGTAGTTAGCTGCTATTGCACTGACGTCATACATTATCTGCCCTAATTTATTCTCTAATACTTCTCAAAAGATCCTACTGGCAACCGAAAATAAGCCTATAAAATAAAAAACAAAGCTAATTCTAGTAGCCGGGCCTAGGCAGCTTGGAAACTTCTAACCATTGGTGGGTATCTGCCCTTTCCTGTAGCCGTTGCCTGAAAAGCTTTTAGGTTGACACCTTCATAGGAAATTCAATTGATTTGAATTTAGGATGAACTCCGTAGTCTAGAAGATTGGTTATTTGGTCATCATTCTTTGAAGGGCTCTGGGTGTTACTAAATCCGTCTATACACATCGCCTCAATTATCTAGAGTAGGTGTCATTGGGTCATCAGTGTGTCACTCCTCTAGCAAAATAGGCAGTCTCTGAACTTCTTGGTTCTTGGCAAAGCTATATGGCCTGTGGATATAAATATGCCCTTCTCCTTCCATGAATCAGGCCAGCCTCCTTCTATTGACTCCTGGTTAACTAATATCAAACCATATCTTTCCCACTTCAGCTCAACAACAAAATCAACATAATGAAGTTCTCCACTGTTCTTCTGGCCTCGTCAGCTCTTCTATCTGGAGTAAGCGCTGGAGTCATTTGGACAGACTCTGAGCTTAATGAGATATGTTGGAAAGTGTGCTTCCATGAAAAACCCCACTGCCCTCATGGCTGGGTAAGAAGAGAACATACCTTGAATCTACATTGAAGAATAAAAAATTGCTAACACTTCACGCATGCAGCATGAAAAGCATTTTGGAGTAAGACTTGACTTTACCCACTACTTATTACATCCCTAGAAGTCTGCTGACATTGTTTACCAGCATTGCTGGACTTGCTGCAAGGACCATCATAGCGATGCTAAGGATGACCTGTATAGATGGCTTTAAGAGTGATGACTACTTAATTTCATTCTCACTGACATGAAGAAGTGTAATCCAATTTCTGTGGGATACTAGGGATATTCTGGTCGTCCAAGATCAACTGTGGTAATTGGTTAAATCTGGGCTGTTTATTCGCACAAGGTAGTGATGAAATGAAGGCTCTACTATAATTTTGCGTTAGTAATGCAAAGTAATACTTCATTAGGCGTTTATAATCATTCTTCCTTACATAAACCTGTGGTGACTTGATATGCACGCAGGCGGCCAATACAGATGTCCTTAATCTTTAATACCATGGTGGAGGCAGCTATAAGGGCGAAACCAGGCTCACTTTACTTTTATTATAACCTCATAGGGTCTTGATATATCTCAATGTTGTCTATAGACTATCAGGATGTATGGCATGGGTGGCAAAATGTGGTTAGCAGAGAAACCATCCTTAATAAGGTGGTGGTGTGGGTAAGCCTGACAGGTATAAATGCTTTACATCCAATAATATTAGGAGTTACCCTATAACCATAGGCCTCTACTCTTTATGCTTAGAAATTAAGAATACTATGTCCTATCAGTTGTTAACAGCATGATTGAGGCATCAAAAAAGGTCCAGACGGCTTTCCTAGTTCTTCTGTGCATATTTGAAATTATTAGTGTCTCTCTTGTATCAGTTCCTGGGAGTTTCTTAACATAGCGGGGTTCAACTGCCAAGACCGGGACAAGCCCTAGGAGGGGATGACTGTTGATCAGCCACTTATCCTAACAATCTGCCACATAATCCACAGCTCTCCCTTCCCATCTAGAGTTTTGGATAGTTATCAAGCTCTCTTGCCAGCCAGTAAAATGGCCCTTACCCGCGACTATTTGGCATCCCTACCCGCCAGCTTCTTTAAAGCCGTTGATAACTGAGATGTCAAGGGTATAGTCTCCCACTTCGCGCCGCATGCTACTTTCACCGTGCAAACCAACCATATCACCGTCACTGGTGTTGACAAGATCCGCAACATGTTTTCAGCCTTCATCCAGTCATCCCAAACAATGCGCTACGAGATCACCAACATCATTGTCAACGAAGTCAATCACAGGGTTTCTACCAAGCAGACCTATGTTAGAGATATGATGGACAGCACGCAGAATGACATGCGGAATTGCAACTTTTTTGATGTTGATGGTGATGGCAAGTTTACCAGGGTGATGCTTTGGATGGCGGGAGCGAATTCCCTAAAGAATCCTTCTGGGCCTGATGCAGCCTAATGCAGGTTTCTTGTGTCAATTGAAAACTTTATATATGTCCTCCAGTCTGGAGATGTACAGTGGCTAATATGCTCTGGGCTATTTAAGACAGAATATAATATCGACTCATGTCAAGATATAGAACAAGACAAATATGACAGAAAGGAATGGCCATAATCGGTATTACTGTCCGGAATGTGTGGGTTGACTCCACTGCTAAAGCGGTTGGAATGATAGCCACGCAAAGAGCTTCCGCGAGAAGTTAGATCTCGCCTTTAATTCGTCTGGATTCCAATAAAGATAACCTACTCCCACACATGCAAGTACACCCCTAATAGCAGCTAGCACTCCCAAAATAGAAAGAGTAGAGGCAGAAGCAAACCACTAAGTTACACCACTAATAACAACAGCAATCCCGCCTGGCTTGCATATTCTTTTTAATTTAGCTATTCTGCGGTCATTTTCTTTCATTAAAACTTTATATAACAGACCTGTCTGCTCCAGGCAATGTGTTGCTTGCTCTAAGATACTCTCAAGGTCTTTGTCATCAACAGTCACTATTCACTGGGGTCAGCTAAGCTTTGAAATATAAGGTCGCAAGCATACCCCTTAGTCTTTTAATTACTGTTTAGAGGTCGATCAGTGCCATCTTAAATTATCTAGAGACTCAAAATAATAGATCAGGAAGTTCTATAAGCTCCAGCAAGTCCTTGGCTGTTGTTAGTCGCCGAAAGATGATTTTTATGAGGGATGTCACCTACAACGTCATCAAACCACACTTTCTTAACCTTATGGGTTTTCAGTATATGCAGCGTCCTCTCAAGGGAATCAATATCTTTCAGCATGGGGCTCATTTTTAGGTCATTGGAAGTCAGCAGCCGTTCCAACAACCATACATGGAGGGAATAAGCAAATACAATCATCTACAGCAACCTTGCAATCTGAGCGTTCAAGGAACACATTTGACCTGTGCAGCATTAGCATCACAGGCTTTGAACAGCCACTCCATAGAAACATCTACAGTACCCTTCCAGATATATCTGCTAATTCGCGACCATACCAGTACAAGGAATGACTGGATAATTCCATTAACCTAACAAACTATGCAAGAGAACGGTGTAGAATCTCCTCTACAGACATTTAGATTCCTTCACATCGCCTTCTGGGGCATCATTCTTCAGAATTATACTTCTTCACTATCTAGGTTAACCAGTCTACACAGGACACCTTCCAGACGCGGTATATATGAAATTTGTCAGCCCAGGTTATAAAGATGGTCCCACATATCAGAGTCAAGAAGTTTTTGTCCCAGGTAAGTGAAGAAGACCTACATTTAGTTAGCATTACCATACAAAAAGGTTTATAAAATATTCACATACATATACACATTGCTGCTCCTGACTAGGATAGCCTATGTCCAACATCCAGTCCTTAGGACACCATCCGTCAATCTTAGGCTTGATGGGATGTGCCCATGCCAGACCTAGTAGCACATCTTGTGGCATGCTATAAAGCCAAAGATATACACAAATATGTTCTGCCCGCATTCTGTTCCTGCTAGAATCATTCACCGTGTATGCTTACCACTAGACTTTAAAGGGACTTTAAATTTATCGCATTCAATAACACACACCCCTTCAGAATGAAAGCCTAAATACCAATGTACTGTTGGCATTCCCATACACACTTCCTTGCCAGGGTTGCTATGTAGGGTAGAGAACAATGCACCTTATTCACAGACAACCCTTGAACATCTAAATTAACAGCTTCAAACTCTCCAGGAAATACAGTCGTGCACCCCCAATGTAAGCTCACACTTAAAACACACTCTAGCATGGCTCTCCATGCATACTATGGTCATTTCCACCCTAATGGCACTATATATAAGCATGACCTCTCCTTCAGTATTTAGTGTAGACATGACAAGATATAAGAATGTCTGAAGACATACTTAGAGGTAGTTAAGGAGAGGTATATAAGCACTGCCCTAACCCTGCCCCCTTTTACAGCCAACCATGCTAATCTTTAATATAAGGCTTAGTTCCTTTATTACCAGTACATTGTGGCAAAAGATATATTTAACTAAGAAACTTATAGACCATGGAACACTCCAGCACCTAGTTTAGTTATAAGTCACAGTAGCCTTAAAGACTATACTAAAAGAGCTATTTATAATTAGCTTCAGCTTCAGCTAGTCCCCTCCACAAGGCTTTAGAGACAGTTCTTCCCTTAGTAATGAGATCTATATATCAAACCATGGTCATTATAGCTGTAACATATGTATGACTTTTCAAGCAATATTCTAAAACTGACCTATTATAGTAGCTGTGTAAAGATAGTATCTATAATTATGTTACAGGTTAGACCATACCACCTAAAACCAGTATTTAATAAGCTCCTCTAGAGAATGGTGGGATTAAGTATGATATATAGTGCCACAAGTTCATCATTATAGCTAATAGTGAACTGGTGCTAGAAAGACATTAATATAATTAAAATCAAACTAGGTAACCAAACTCTTCACTACAGGGATCTCCACCATCTAAAAGCCTATTACTAGATAATAGTAACACATTGCATCAGCAGTGTCTTGTCACCTAGAGACAGGGCTCATTATAATAGGTGTCATACCATTTCAGTAATAGATAAAGAGCAAGCATGATTAAGAATATTCCACTTAATATTCTATTATTTCATTCTTCCACTAAATACATGCACCATAATTCATTTTTTTGTATTTTCTTCCTTTCCTTAGTCCTATTCAGCTTCTAATCTTATATACAACAATTGTACCGCGCACAACCCCTCAGCAGTGGTATGATTTTAATAACTTATGGATCTATACCATCAGTTTCTAACAATATGAATCATGTCTGCATTAGCCGCTGGTTAAAGACGCACATTAGGCTCAGGTTACATGAGGCATAGCAGCTATTGCTTGCCTTTTAAATAGTCACAGGGCTTGGATTTGCTATGAATGCTTCATGCTGGTAATAGAACAGGAAATTGCAGCATCCCATTCTCATAGTTTTATTATGCAGCTCATATCATTCAGGACAAGGGATCAGCCACTCAACCTATCCACGCCACGTGAATGGGAAGCAAGGTATCTAGTCATTGCCAAATGCACCCGCTTCTGCTTAAGCATTCCATACATTATACTATACTAATATTTAGGCCGTTATATTATCCATAAAAACATTGATTAATTGAATCTCATGAACTACAATTCAGAAGCCATACTAAACATCTCACATGCCAGAAACACCTTCCAGTATTATCCTAGTCGGCCCTCTTTATGAGCATGCTCTAATAATGCTTTCCAGGCACCTCTTAAAGATTCCATCACCTCTGCTCTCATCAGCAGAAAAGCATATTAATGCCTTTCTATTTGCCCTTGGGAATGGTGAGACGCACAGTTTCATCGAAAAGTCCAAATTAAATCAAAGTTTGACAACTTCATCAGGAACTTTCGCAGACTGCCTATATAGGCCAGGCACTTACTACAAAAAGTCCCTTCTAGTCTTAGGGCTTACACCCACAACATTAAAGTAATAGAGAAGTGCTTGCAGAACAGTAAGTATTGAAAATATATATTTTTTAGTTAGTATACTGCAACCATCGCTCTAGCCCCAAGATATTTATATAACCTAAGACATGAACTTAAGTTAGGAAGGGCCAAGTTTGCATAGAGGATCAGACTACAATCATCAAACCATTTGTAGTACTCACACACTATATAAAGCATTTATATTCCTTACCCAGATCTTTACTTACCTTCACAGCACTTATATTACTACTCCAGTTCAATCTCCTATTACTCACATTAATGCAGTTATAACTCTATCTATAATATAATAGCACTTGCCACTAAGTCCCCAGAAGATGCTATAGGAAGGTCCCTTAAGGCCCTTTCTCTTCAAGAGGAAACCTTACTGGAGGGCTCAAACCCACCACAAGCTAGCAACCCATTTAAAGAGCTTCTTAATGCACTAAGACATTAAAACCAGCTAGAAGAGCTCTTACAAGGTCACTTCCTCCCAAGCTTATAAACATAGTAATAATTACATTAAATAACCCCAGATAATCTCTTCTTTCAACAGCCGCGAGAGATATGGGAAAGAGAAGGTTAGGATAGAGAAGGCCTATCTAACTATATTATATTATTATATGGAATTTTAAACTTCTTAGTAATTCTTCTACTTAACCTAAGTAGCTGGTACTATCTCCTATGGGACTAGATGATTCAAAACTCACCTATACTAACATGGTTATAAGAGGTATTAGATCACTAGGGTTTCACTCTAAGAGACATTATTATCATTAATACTATTCCACTCTTAACAGATTAAAGTTTAGACATTATGGATGACACTGAAAGGGAGTAATTTACTAATGAAGTATTTAACCTTACTGTTAAATTTCTCCACTAGTTTGACGTACAGGTGATGATTTCCTGCTAATATATGACTAACTTATCATACCACCACTAGGGCATTGTTAACAATCCACTTGCTGCGCAGCTCTGCTCATTAGTTAGCAGTATATAATATTAAGATATGGGTGAAGTATATCTGCCTGAGCACACCATCCATGTCATCCAGGGGTTTCATCCTATGTATATCAAACACACTGAAGACCCTGATGCCTGCTCCAGTCTGGTTAGAGTTCTCCAGGGTCTATTTAACACCCTCTTCCAGCCTTGTGCTGACTAGCAAGCCTAGAGACACTGTGAATATAAGGAATGTGGGGAGTCTCTTAATTTAGTAGTGGATGAGGTGAAGGGTATAATAGTGATGTTTTTAAACATAATTAGGGAGTACCATGTGTGCTAATATTAAGTAATTCACCTTGGAATAGGCTCTGTGTGGCTAGGAAATAATTATGATGTTCCTAAATGGACTCAGTTTCAGCATGATGTCCACTCTTTTATGTCTATGCTGTTACCAGGGCCATTATAAGCTTAAATAAGGAAGGAGGAGAGGGGGAAGATATAGGCCCATCACATTTTTAGACCCCTCAGCTAGCTAGTCAGTAATGTTTGATGATATAAACTTAATATACTTCAATTATGCCATCAGATCAGTCAAGGCATATGTTATGGCAGCCACAACTTGCTGGATTAAGGACTATCAGAGAAAGCAGGAGTGGTCAGCGCTCTTGCAGCTTTGTATACAATCTGGAGGCTAAATGGCAACTATACAATCTTCCATGTCCCTTCCTCCATACAGTATATATCAGCAAGGCCCTAGAAATTGTAGTGAACCTCTAGGATTTAGGAATCTCTTTTTGTGGATATAGTCAGAAGTGACCTTTTGATTAGGAAATGCAAAATTACAAAGTAGTGCCGAGCATGCAGGGATAACATTGTCACATTATCTTAAATGCGTAATATGAGCACTATCAATACGCAAATTGCTAACTCCCTCTTCAAGAGTGACCGGGAGGTTTTAATAGGAATAGTACTGGAGCACGAGGCATCAGATTGTTTTATCTTAGGGCAACCCACTCAATAGGTATAACGGGCATTGGAGATATGAGCCTCTCAGCAATGCATGGTTATGTGGGCGCGACTGTTGGCAGGCACTTGTATCATATTGTCATCAGTCGTCAAATATGTTGAAAATCAAAACCGTCAGAAGGTAGACATTGTGGACCTTTTGAGGTGATGTGATAAATCCACTGACTGCGCGGGATAGCCAGATCAGCATGGCCACCATCTCAGAGAACTAATATCTCCAAGGTCTCCGTACTCAAACCATGGTCTGTTGGGTTCCTGTATTTTTTGGGCCAAGCACTTCTCTGTGGGCTATCGGGGTCTGACCTATCAGAGAACTGGTGGTCATCCTCTTCCGAAAATATGTTGCCATTGAAGGGATAATCGTGGTCTTCCGTGCTTAATTAAATGCGGCTTTTGTCTTTTGCGTAAATGTAGAATTTGTGCATTTTGCTTAAGTATAAACCATAAGCCTGTCCTTATTACTTTAAATATAGAGGGAAGGCATTGGAACCATGCTTGATACTAAGATGGGCATAAGTTGTCTGAAACTGTCAGAGAAGCTGAGTCTAAGTAGGAGAAAATTGATTTGCCAGAAGCAAGACCGTCACAAAACAAGCCTGATGAAAAAGTCTTTTGAATATAGCAAGATGTGTGGTGCGGATGTTTCTTTGGGCATATGCATAAGGGACACTGGTTGACTGTATATCTTTTCCGCTGATGCTTTGGGATTCTTGGCATTTATTGGATCTAAACTGGTATTCTCCCACCATGCATATCCATCCAAAGGCTAATTTATTTAGAACTGCTATTATCCACCGCCAAGTCAAGTTACTGACAGAGACTTTGGTAACTCAGGAGACCATGAGGTGCCTGTGTCTTAGCAGAGGACTGAATATAAGGGCTTTGACCTGCATGATGCACCCCGCGGAGACATAGCTCTATAGAGTTAACTGCTATTGTCAACTGCCTGAAAGTGACTGGGTCACCTGTAGAACTTGAGTGGCACAAATCTATGTATGTGTGTATGTATGTATGTATGTATGTATGTATGTATGTATGTATGTATGTATGTATGTATGTATGTATGTATGTATAGGATTTATTCTAAGACTGCAAGAATAACCCGTGCGTTGCTTTCTTGGATGTCTGCGATTTATAGGTGGGATATCCATTCCTTAATTATGACACCACCACAAGGCTGAATCATTATCATGATGCCAGGGATGCATATTTGACTCAGTGCTTGATACTCAGCGGAAACAAATCGCGCAAGAAAGTTAATCTTAGTGCTTGGTGTTCTGCTGGAAGCCGCTGCGTGACGTTATCATGCATTGCCTTGTCCAGTTACTGCAATAGGTCATCTTGGGCTTGTAGATTCATTCTAAATGCTCTAATTAATCGCATGAAAGTTGGGGAAATAGTGACCGAGTGAAGGACAATATTTCAGCGGTTACTCTGAAATTTAAGTAGTAGCCAGTTCATTTGTTGGCCACGAAGCCACGGGGGACACAAAGACCGAGACAATAAGCCCACTAGATCCAATGCAGACCTGACTGAGAGACTGGACAAATCCACCTATGACCCCAGAAATTGTTGGGCTCTTCGTCAACAATATTCACATGGTCCCTGATCTTTTGAGTTACGCTTATGTGAATAGTATATGGAATATGGCCGCCTTGCAGAAGCTCTACAGGGGCTCCCTGGACGACGTGCAATTCCGCACACCTAACATTAGATTCCTTAATTACCTCTTTGTGGCGTCAAGGGAGCGCTTTATCCAAAATATGAGCTTTATGAGACATCTTCTCCTCTATCCAGTGTCACCAGCAGTTGATGACACTGCACACCCGGAAACTTAGCTTACATGTTTTGAGAAATGTTGCGTGACGCGCCATCACAAATATGCTAAGCACATCCTGCAACCATGAGGAAGTGGTCTAGCATGTCTCTTAATTCCTTTTAAGATTGTGGATTAAGATTAGTCATAGTTTTCCAATCTCCTACTCCCTCTAATGGTTGAATTTTTGGCTATTAATAACTACTACTGTGAGCTCATGACGGACAGCTCTAGCTATTCCTGGGGACTGACCACTCCTACTTTGAGTCTTCAGATGTTGAAATCGCTAAGATACGTAAACTTTCCAAATCACTAGTAAACTATATGGCCAATCGAAAATCAATGAAGGTCCAATTCTTCTAAACGAATGACTATCTATCTCCTATTTATGCCTTCAATAGGGGTCGGATTGCGGGGCTTCCAAATGATCGAATACTATTGAATATTCGGCCAAGAGTGGCAGTGCTTCACCAATTTGTATGCTTCTAAATCGGGCAAGCGGTAACATAATTCAATACACCCCCCCAGCTGAACCGTTAGGCGAAGCTGCATAGTCTATAGCTGTTGAAGCCATATCCATATCCAAATTGAGTAATCGTGTTGAATCGATGGCATTGGATTGGTTGAAGCTTAATCTCTGCTTCCTGATTGGTCTATGAGCCCAACCATCCTGCAAAAGTCGATATGCTTATTCTTCAGCAATATCTTTGTAAGGCTGTCTGCCGGCATGCGATTGGTTTTAATCCATTTGACTGATATGCGGCCTGATTGGACCTCTTGCCAAAGCCAGTGCTGGTGTATATCAACATGGCATAGCTTTGTGCGAATAGTAGGCTCTTCACTACGCAGTAGCCCTACTGTTTAATAATTATCACATAGAATGGATATCTCATGCTCTGGATCAAATCCAATATCTAAGAACAATTGCTTCCACCAATAGATGTTCTTTGCAGCCTCCAAAATGGCAAGCAATTCAGCCTTAGTAGTAGAAGTAGTAACCATTCATTGCTTCCCTGCGTGCCAATCCACGGCGGCACTAAATAGCTTCACCAGATATCCTTCGCTGCTGCTACAATCCAATTGGTCTGTATAGGCAGCATTACTTACAATAATAAAGATATTCCCTGTCAAATTGCCTCCATATTCCAAAGTGTAGTCCTTTGTCAAAGCAAGATATGCAATGACACAATTAGCTGCGTCAAATGAGCTGGTCCAGGATTCAAGAGATATCTCGCTAGATCAGACATTATCTTAGCAATATCTAAGCAAGTGATCACTGCGGCATAGAGAATTAATCTAATTTTGGATTGATAGTGGTGTATCTCATGCGCCGTAGCCTTTCTATTGTAAGGACATAGATTCTCTGCTGCAGGTGTTCAAGGCTTCCTATTGGGTGAATCCAAATGATATCTTGCAACAATCTTATTAATATATGCCCATTGGCTAAGCCATAGCTTCTGTTTCATTTGATCTCGGCTAATCTTGATATTCAGGAAGCTCTCTCCCTCGCCTAGATCACGGAATTCATATCATTCTTACAGTTTTTGAATCAGATTGTCAGCATGCTTCTTGCTTTTAGGATGGTAAAGAAATAGTATATCATCTATAAACACTAGGATAACAGTCTTATCATCTGTATAAAGGCATAAGTCTGTATTAATTCTTCGCAAACCTATCTCATTGAGGGCTCTCAAAATATCTCTCTGCTAGAGGCGCGGTGCCCTTCATAAGCTGTAGAGAGCTCATTTCAACTGGTAAACATAACTATATTCAGAGAATCCTTCAGCCATGTAGGTATAGACCTCCTCATCTAGCTCGCTGTTAATGAATGCGTTGACAGCATTAATTTACTATATATCAAGATTAAATACTGCTGCAATAGCTATTAACATCTGAAATATTCATGCAGCAAGAGTAGCAGCTATAGTATCATCATGTGTCATCTGCTGCATGTCTCCTCATACATAGATTTATGCCTTAGCCTTGATCAAGTAGCCTTCTTAATTAAATTTGTACATGAAAACCTATTGCAGCAGAATAATCTACTTGTCTCTAGGCCATTTAACCATCTGAAAAGTTCCTCAAGCTAATAATGTATTATGTTCCAACTCTGCAGCTGCTTCAAAGAGTTCCTTCAACAGATACTTTTGCATTTCCTTCCAGCCGTTAGGTGCAGGCGGTATTTCATCTTAATGAAGTTATTTCTTTATAGACACCTTATCTTACAGGCCTATTCCAAATAATATAAATACTAAGTGGAATTACTTCAAGCTATCTATCCAAGCACCAGCATAGATGTTTCATAGGGCTCAACGCTGTCGTTTTCCTTTAATGATGTTATCTACTAAAAAGTCAGCACTAACACTGTGCTTTAGCTTCGTTGGGAAATTATTAATGTCATCTTAACTATTTAGCTCAATACTCAATTAATTGACGTCCTCAAATAGCTGTCTTAAAGGTGAATCTTCTAGTAAGATATGATTTCTTCCTGTATCTGCTTCCAATCAAACTAGGGACTCAGGAAGTATATCTATAAGCCTTACAGGCATCTCAGGCTCTGGGGAATCATCAATTCTCATAGGGGATCTCGGAGTCATCAAATCAAGGCAAACATGCTGTTCTCTCTGTGGGCTATCAATCCAGCCTCCAGGAATGCCATATTGGCCTGTATCTGCACGCTGCGGGCGTGCCAAATCATCTTATTCAATAGATTCAATAGGTGCATCATGTTGGATAGATCTTCCTGGCGTAGCAAGGGGAGTTAGAGGTACAACATTCACTTCCAGCAATTCTGCCATCTGACCGCCTGCCTTATTAGGCATAGTTCCTTCACTTATTACATTAATTGCTTCATTCACCCCCCAAGCTTCAACCTCATCCAACTCATCTTCATCACTTGATTCTTCCTCCTGCCTCATCTTAATATCTTCATTCGTTGCGTTGATTTCAATTGGCGGCACTGGCATATCTGATATCTTGATTGCTTCTACGTGGAATGGCCTGTCTGGATTAAATATAATATCTTCATTAAATGTGATGTCTCTTTTGTTGGTGATCTTCCCCATCAGTGGATTCCATATCTTCTATATATTAGACGCAGTGTATCTAATAAGATAGCCTATCCAGGCCTGTAGATCCAGCTTCTTTATTCTTAGAATCTTATGTTGCCTGACATATGTTCTGCATCCATATATGCGCAGATTTGCTAAAGATGGCTTCTTACCATAGAGCTTCTCATATGGCGTGATCCAGATCTATTTCTTCTGCCTATTTTCCTCTACTGCCTCTCTGCGCAGCTGTTGATTATGCAGATAGACAGCAGCATAGAGAATATGCAGCTATAGCTTCTTAGGCAGTCTTACAGCTATTCTTATGCTTTGGGCTATTTTAATTATCGATCTTCCAGCGCGTTCGACTAGGCCCTTTTGCTTGTTGATATATCATGTTGAATGGAAGATCTCAATGCCTTCATTTTTCATAGTGCATATATATTCATTCCTAAGTGTTGGTTCATGGTCTGAGAACATCCTCTTTGGCTTGATATTGAATTGCGTCTTAACCCATTCAATAAACTACTATATTAGGCTATTAAGCTGATCTTTATCTGGATGTGTGTAGATGACATGCCATCTAGTTAATTTATATATGAAATGAGTAGCCCAGCGATCACCATTATGGGCAATAGTCATTGGAATCAAATCAAAATGAACGCTTTCAAATGGCTTGGTTGACCTCTCTCTAGGCATTCAAGATATCTGCTTATAGGCCTTTGCTAGCCTGCATGTCTCACAGATTGATCTCTTGCAATTCAACACTTTTACACCAATAGATGCCTCTTCTAGATGCTGTATAGCTTCTTCTCCTAAATGTGCTAGCTATTGGTGCCATCATTCACTTGTTTTGGTGGATTCATGCGGCCTCTCTGAATATCAATTCATTGCAAAGACATTTAATATCAGATTATATTCCACTACTTCTAGATTGTATCTCATTTCTATGCAGCAAATCGGCTTCCCATGCTAATCTTCTATAATATTAGTATATTGATTGAGATAAAATCCATGCTTCTTCATGTGAAAGGTTAAGAGCAGATTTATATAGCACTCAGGTATATAAGCCACTCTGCTTAGTTCTAAAATATGCAGCTTTCCATTCATTCTAATTGCTTTCAGTTCAACCCTTCTATATCTGAGGATTTGCACATTCATTGCACTGAAACGCGCATACTCATCTTCCACTGGCTCATAGGTGAGGAACTGAGTTTGATTGTTGCAGATATTGATGTCTGCTCCTAAATCAATAATCTAACTATCTTGCAGCTCATATGCATTGCTTCCTAGTGAGAATGCTATGGAATCACTCTGAATAATACTCATTACTGTGCGAGATGCTCCCTGCTTCTGATTTGCTTGCTTAATTGCTTGTTCCATAGCATATTGCACCCTCAGTTTTGTCTGCTTAAGCCACTTGAATCATTCCATGATCTCTGTATTCAGCTTCCATCCATTCAGCCTCAACGATTCGATCAAATATGGACACTTCTCAAACGTATGCTTGTCTCCGCAAGGGCAGTCTTTGGGCCTCACTTAGGCCGTTCATTTGGCCGTTCATTTCCATAATTCTGATTGGCCGAATCAGAATGTTGATCAGAGGATTGTCCCTTGAAGGAAGCAAACGCGCTCTTCTATTCTCTTTGACTAAGGGATCGCCACTGTTTATGGAAATGATAGATCTCATTAAACACATCTAATGACTTGTCCTTTAACAGTTTATTTAATCTGATCTGGGTATACATTTAATCTACGCCCCTCAGTACTGTAAGGAAGGACCTGGTTGCATCTTCCCTAGTGAGACTTTTTAATCCAAGACAATTGCATTTGCTTATCACATCTTCCCATTCGCCTAGCCACATCTCGACGTTCTGATTGGCTGGCTTCAATAGGAGTCGGTTATATCTTGCTATAATGCGCGATATCTGATCTTCCTTCTTCGGTTCCAGCTTGGCCTTCAGCTTCGAATATCTCTCAATGGTGTAATCTGATTTGTTAGTAAGCTGCCTGAGATGCTTCTGCGCGACTGTCTGCTCCATCTCTCGCCAGATAGCTGCTAGGCCTTGCTCTGCCTCCTTCCATTCCTTATATCATCTCTTCCAGCTGTTGACTTGACAATCATATGATTGGTTCGCTTGCGTATTCTCTGAATCATCAGGGTGAATTGGCTTTAATGGGCGTGGTGTTTCTCCAAGCAAGATCTCTTTCACTCCATAGCTCATCGCTATGCCTTTTATATGAGAGTCCCAGTTCCACCAATCATCGGGCGAATCTAGCACGATGGGGACCTTCCTGGTGGACCTTATCAGCTCAGCTGTCAACCGATCCCCGATAATAGCGAATCTATGGTAATCGCTAGTAAACGGTATGATTCGGGATGAATGAAGGTCTGATTTCTGGCAATCTAGATATCTAACTAACTACTTATAATCGACTAAATGAAAACTCTGTAAAATCTCCTTAATCCAGCGAGTTGAATCCATGGTAGAATCCAGCGATCTGATTGGCCCAGCCAGAATTCGGCTAAATATCGATATCCGATACTCTCCAGATTCAATAGCAGTAAGATATGGCTGACACACCCCCCAGGTAAGCAGGCATCGCGAAGCTGAATCTAACATTTGCAATCTAGTGCTGTAGATGTTGAATGAACTTTTGATACTTCCTAATTAGGAAGGCGAGATAGATGGCTGGTGTTTGTGGGCGTCTATCTCATTTGTCTGATGTCAATTTTAGATTAAATTAATTAATCTTTGTCTGGATTAATGAGGCTAATCTGCCTCATGAATTTATAGTGCTTCTGGCGTGGGAGTAACTTTGTAAGGCCATCTACAGGCATCTCACTCATCTTAATCCATTAAATGGAAACACAGCCAGCCTAAACTTCTTGCTGTAGCCAGTGCTAGTGGATATTAACATGCCTAAGCTTTGTGTGCACCTTTGGCTCATCACTAGTAAGTAGATCTACTGTCTATAGATTGTCACATAAGATGGAGATTTGATGCTCTAGATTAAATCTAATTAATATAAATAATTATTTCCACTAATAGATGTTCTTCGCAGCTCCTGAAATAGCTAGCAATTCAGCCTTAGTAGTGGATGTGGTGACTGTCTTCTGCTTCCCTGCCTTCTAATTAATAGCTCCTCTGTATAGTAGGTAAATGTAGCCTTCTGAGCTCTTATAATCTAGATGATCACTATAAGTAGCATTACTAGCTACTGTGTAGACCTCTCCACTGTAGTATTTAATAGTGTATCTTATAGAATGATTCCAGGTCCCTTGAAGGTATTGGATCACCTGGTTAACTGATTCCATATGCTTCAGCAAAGGGTTGGTAAGATGTTCTAATAAATTTGATGTTATCTTTGTAATATCTGGCTGGGTGATCACCGCAGGATATGTGCATAAGCCTGTCTTTTGTTAATACTCATGGATAACCTCAAAGCTAGCTTGCCCATTGAATTTAGTGAGAGGTTCACCTAATGCAGGCATAGCTGGTGGGTTGCTTATTCATAGATAATATCAGTCCACTATCTTATTAATATATGCTGCCTGGTTGAGCTAGAGCATTTAATTAGCCCTATCACGCTGGATCTGGATGCCTAGAAAGGTGCTGGCATCTCCTAAATCGCGGAAATCATACTTAGCTTATAGGCCAGCAATCACCTGATCTGCATATGATTTTAATTCTCTTTGGTAGAGAAATAGTACATCATCAACAAATACCATAATGATCATCTTATCATCAGTATAGAGGCACATATCTTTATTGACAGGGTGGAACCCTAGAGCTTTGAGAGTTCCAGTCAGCTCTCACTGCCATAAATAGGGTGACCTGCATAGGCTGTAGAGGGCTTAATTTAGCTGCTAAACATAGCCTTATTTAGAGTATCCAGCTACTATCTGCATGTACACTTCTTCATCTAAGAAGCTGTTAATGAAAGTGTTCATTGCATCTAGTTAATAGATATCTAGATTAAATACTGCTACTAGTGCCATAAGCGTCCTGAATATTTATGCTGCTAGTGTTGTTGCAGTGGTATCTTCCCTATTTAGAACCTGTAAGTCACCTTGTATATAGAGACATCCTTTTACCTTGAGTAGATAACCATCATTATTAAATTTGTATGTAAAGACCTATATTAATAGTAGAACTTGCTTTTTAGTAGGATATCTGACTTTCTTCCAGATATTTCATGCCACTAATGTGTTGAATTCTAGATCTGCAGTAATGTAGAAGAGATCTTTAAGTAGATGGTTCTTGATATCTTAATAGCTTTTAGAAGGTAGTAGAAGCTGGCTTCAGTGCTTCCTGCCTGACTAAGGCGGCCTATCTAATACTGCCTGTAAGAAAGCACTGAATAGATAGTGTATATTCTTTACCTTCTCCTCTTTCTCCTTATATTAAGGTTCCATTTGGTCTACATGTAAGGTGTATACATTTTTCTTAGGCTTCCTTACCTATTTGTAATGCAGGATGTTATCTATTAAGAAATCTCCACATATCTCTTTAGAAGGCCTTGAAGGCAGTTTGTATACATCTTCTTCTATTAGTTCTGGCTGTTCTTCTGGCTCTAGGCTCATTCAATTAAGCATGCTAGTAAGGAGCTGTCTTCCCAGGGAATCATTATATTAGTGAATTAGGGAAGTATCTTCCATCAGATCTAATGGTTCTTTATTGTTATTTTCGCTAGGTGTTTGAGGCCTCTGATTAGTTCAAATTAGAATTGCTGTATATGGACTATCTTCCCATGCTCCAGGGATTCATTATTGATCAATTGTTTGTGTAGGCATATGGATTAATTCATTGGATCATGCTAGATTTGGTGACGGAGTTGGTTCAGGGGTAGGAAGATAATGTTCATGTCTTTCTGCCGCCTTCTCTAATTAGTTAATTTGCTTACCACTCTTACTTATATCCATGATATTCACCCCCTGAGATCCAATGTCAACCTCATCTCTTGCCTCCGGGCCATTTCCTTCATTTAGAATCAGCTCACTGCCTTCATATTCTATTACTGGATGTTGGATCTCTATGTCAGGGATATCTAGCAGCTGCTATAGGATTACAGGCTGTTAAGGCATTTTGATTTGCACTAAAAGAGTGTGGAATGGATGATCTGGATCAAACATGATCTCTTTAATAAATTTGATGTCTCTCTCATCTATGACAGTATTTGCTTTTAGATCCTATATTTTCCATATATTAGAAGCTGTGTAGCTGATGAGATAGCCTACCCAGGCTCACAGCGCCATCTTATCCAGCTTTGGGATACCCTCGCGGCGTACGTACACCCTGCAGCCATAGACCCTCAGGTTGGCTAGATTCAGTTTCTTTCTATATAGCTTTTCATATGGTGTGATCTAAACTGGTGCTTCTGGTTCTAAGCTAACTTCTCTCTTATTAATATGATCTAGGTGTTGTTCCACTTCCTTCCATGAACCATGATTCCGCTGTGGGCATCGATTATTAATATAAACAGCCGCCTGGATTGCGTAATTCCATAGCTTGGAAGGCAGTCTTGCGCCTAGTAATAGTGATCTAGCCATAATAATAATGGCTTCGCCAGCGGATTCAATCTTGCTGTTTTAATTATGTGCATGCCTTATAGAATGTTTAATTTTAATACCTTTTATAGTACATTGGTTAATGTACCATATGCTGAGCATTCATTCCTGATCTGAATAGAGGCATTGTAGCTTTGCCCTGTACTGGCATTTAATTTATGTGAGATAGATGTCCATGTATTTCCTTAAATCTGACTTTGTATGGGTGGTATAGGCTGTATGCCAGCCAGTTGCATTATTAAGGAAATAGATGATCTATTTATCACCATTATCCACGCTGTCTAGCGGTATAAGATTGAAATGCACATGTTTAAATACTTTGGTTGCCCTTTCTAGGGCCTTCATAATATTTATCTCTTTGCCTTTGCTAATAGGCATGTTTCGCAGTTCTAGACTAGGCAGGGAATGACCTCTATGCCCTTAGCAACATCCTTAAGACAGGAAATTGCTTTGTTATTAGTGTGTGCTAGCCTTTTATGCCATATCTCAGTCATTACCTTATTCTAGAGAGGCATCATCGACTTCCTGATGTTAACGGCTGCTGAAAACACTACTTTCTCTTTTTCTGAAATTAGATTATATTTAATGATGTCTAATCAGAATCACTTCCTGGTGCGAATGATTGGATTGCCCTTCCAATCTTTAATGAGCTGCAGGTGTTGGTTTTGGAAGTAGCCCTTCTTATTAGCTAGGCCTATGGATATAATATTTATGTGGCAACCTGGTATGTATGCTACTCGCGTCAATTCTAATATATGTATGCTGCTATTTGGGCTTTCCCTGCAGACCTCAGCTATTCTATAGCCTATAATTGGTGCCTGTGAGTTGCTAAATTGAATGGCCTTACCATTAACTGGATAGAAGTTGGATAGCTGGCTTTGATCATTACAGACATGTATGTTAGCTCCAGTATCTGCTATCCAGCTATCTTGCAATTCAAATACCTCTTGTGGATCACTTCTGCCAGACAGGCAGGTATGGATATCTGGTGCTTCTTCTATTCTAATTACTGCATGCTGATTAGTCCATTCGTCAGGGGAATCATTATTTAATTCAGCCTGCTCTGCTAGCGTTTGAATTATGCTCATGGCTATTCGCGTAATTAACTAATTTGATTAGTCTGTCACGGGCTAGAAGCCGGTTCAACCTATGACCTAGGTTTGGACGGTAAGAAATCGCTAGGAAGTCTAACTAGGGGCGCATCATGGCCGGACATCAAAAGGGGAGGCTTGGGTCACGTGATGGCGCGGGTTATTACATTGGTTAGTACAAAAGTCACGTGACTAACAGCTGGTGTCTAGTTTGGATAAGACCTCGCGAGGGCTGTTGAACAGCATGAGCACCCAGCAGGCCCTACCCGCTACACTACCCCTCCTTCCCCTGTTGGGGTCGTTGCTGCTCCTCCCACTCGTCCAGCGCGGTGGTATCAGCAAGGTGAGCCGCCGGCTCCCACGTGGGGTGTTCATACCCTACCCATTTGACAAGATACTCACGGCGGCGGCCTCAGCCAATGCGTTTCTCACATTCATCCAGCACCCTCTCCACACAATATTCATCCTCGCCGTCGACTAGCATTGCAGGTGGCTGGTAGTCGCCATTCAGCTGGCTCAGGAGGGGGTCATCTGCAGCAGGACACAGTAGGCTAACATGGAACACATTATGGATTCCTGGTGGTGTGTCTAGCCAATATGCGTGAGATCCAACAGCCTCAAGGACTGTAAACTTCCCATGCTACGCGTTGAGCTT